GGGAGAAAGCGTTGCCCGAGCATCCGTCCATCCACCCAGGGGCTGCACCTGCAACCCCACGGGATGAAAGAGGTCAGGGATCTCCTCTGCTTTCGAGCATCCCGCCAGGCTGCCCGCATCCCCCCTGCCCATGGGCAACCCGGGGGAGCCCCAGCAGCGCCTTCGCAGTCCCCTGCGCCGCCCCCGCTAGTGCCAAGCCTTGAGGTTTTGCTTCTCCATCCCTTTCCTTCTCCGTGGATTCTCTCCCACGCTTGTCTCCTGACATTTAGTAAAAGCGCTGTAATAGATCAAGCTGTAAATCCAGGCAGATTTTAACAGGGTGGGGGCACCGAGAGCCCCGAGTTCCCTCAAGGAAGGACTGAGCAAGGACTGCAGTTCCGCAGTGAATCCTTCTGGGGCAGGACAGGGATGAAGGAGCTGCCGTGGTGAAGGCAAAATTAGGATGGCATCAAGGGGCGGGTGAGAGCACAGCACAGCTCAAAGGACCAGGGTGATAGAGAACCACATTCATCCTTCCCTGCCTGGTTTACACCAAGAACTCTAGTATGAGGAGGGATGGATGCTTAAGGAGGGGTAAATGGACCAGCAGCATCTGCAAGGGGAAGAAGCAGCTAAAAATGGACAGGGGACAGAAGGGGGAAGGGCAGAAGGTCAAGCCAGGGAGGCAGGATTCAGGGTGAGGGCGAGGCAGCGATGCTCAGCCTCTTCCCGAGGTCCTGGAGGGACCAAGCCACGGCCAGGCTGAAGCTGGCAGCTGCTCCTGGAGGATTTCCACACATCTCTGCCTTCTCTTTCCTCCCGCCCACCATTAGCAGAGTCTCTCTGTTGCCAGCTCCATGCTATCCCCTCGCTGTGCCAGTGCTGATTTGCAGCTCTCAGCCTCAACCTCACCATGCAAGTCTCTATATGTAGTTCTATACATCTATATGGGGCAGCAGCCATGGCTGGCTGGGAGGTGACAGCCCCGAGGTGGCACGCGCAGCATGGGAAAGCTGTTTTTCATCTTTTTTTTCCCTTTTTTTTTTTTCTTTTTTTCTGGGGGGTGGTTTTTTCCTCTCGGCAGCGCCTGACTGAGGAGCTGCAGACCATGGAGAATGGCTACCATGATAACCCCACGCTAGAGGTGATGGAGACCTCCTCTGAAATGCAGGAGAAGAAGGTGAACCTCAACGGTGAGCTGGGGGACAGCTGGATCGTTCCTCTTGACACCATCATGAAGGAAGACCTGGAGGAAGAAGAGGACACGCATTTATAGGATACAGGATTCAAACAAGCAAAAAAACCAACCACCACCCCTAAATAAAACCCCCATAATCCCTACACACACACGCACACAACTCCAAAACAAGGCAAAATTCCCAGCAAAGCCCAGAAAATCCTTTAGTGAACTAATCATGGCCCCTTGTGCCACCACACGGGGCGCAGGATGGGTGAGGAAGGGACATGAGAAGACACCTCTGGGGCACATCGCTGGCACCGCGGTGGCCGCATCCAGACAAGTGTCCTCCGTCACCAGCGGGCGCTCAGCAGGACGTATGACACCAGAGCTGACGTGGGTGAACAGGGTGGACTTTCCTCCCAA